ACCTGGTGCTGAAGCTCTTCTTTCCTTTGGGAAAGCTGACCTGTGATAAAAACATTTTTAAATTTCAATGCAAAGATGCTATATCGTAATATAGTAAAGACAATTCTGACTTGATTGTCAAAGGAAATGAATCAGCACGACGTCTCCTTGGTGTTGGTTCTTTATTCATTTCGGTGCACATGCTCGGAAACGGTATGTTATACTGTAAATATAATAAGTGGTAATATTATTTGAAAAGCCAAAAAACAAAAATTATTTGATATATAAAATAAATGTCAGATAGCAATGCCTTAGATAGCCAAAACATATAGATAGTAAATAATCTGATTAACCATCATAGGAGTAGATATGGTGTAGATTTACACCCATTAAAGTAAATTTCACTCATGCAAATGTATTTGCTCTCTTTGTAAATATACTATATATTTACATATGTCGTATAAAAAATATATAATAAAACAAAGGAAAAATAAAATAATATTGCCTTGATTTTGATATATATTATATTGATTATTGTTCAAGAACAATGCAATATAGACAATGTATTTTTATGTACTTTTAACAATTATTTGCAAAACTTTCATTAACAATTCAATCAAATATGACTCTTTTAAACTGAAAGTAAAATATTGACTTCTTTTGAGTCACACATTTCCTTAATTTTATTTTGTGCTGTTAATAAAAGTTTTGCAAAATCTCAAATGACAACATGAACGACGATCATGAGTTATACCTAGCACAGTTAAACATACATGTTATTTTGTACCTCAAATTCATAGTGGACGAAAACTGAATTGACAATTTGTTATTACATATATTCAAAACCCTTAATATTTAAAATATAAAATTATATTTAATTTAAAATTTTATGAGCTTCAACTCAATTAGAAAGAAAACTGTTTTAATTTCTATTCAAAAAGCGACTTGCTAATTCAGACGATTCAAATATTCAAAGCTAGACAATTATGCTTGATCAAACTTATATTGATAAGACAAAATTAAGATTTGTTGATTCAAATAATTTTAAGACGATTTAATGATATAAAAATTATATTGACAACTTATATGCTCATTGAGACTTTAAAAGTAAAATAAGTAATTCACAAATACAAATTTTATATTAAAATAAATTATATCTTAAATAATTGCAAGACAAGCATAACTGTAAAACTGTAAGCAATTTTATATTAGGCAGCAGACATAAATGAACAAGACAAACAGTTTTATATATTCTACAAGTGATAATTTGGGTCAGAATATTGAAATATTTATCAAAATAAATATTTATTTTATATTGTATGATTCAAAACAAATATGTAATTTATAATTTCAAACATATTAATTTTTCATTTTTAAACCAGATATATTTTTAACAATTGTCAATTAAATTAATTCATTTATTTATTTATGGTAATATATAATATGAATATAATAATGATTCATATAACATGATTTATATTATATTTTCTTTTTATATAATGAATTCTAACTATAATATAATAATGTATAATAGCAAGTCGGTAACACACATTTATATAAGTTTCAATCGCTATATATATATTACATATATTTTCTTGTAGATGGAATGAATATTAGAATTAACAATATCTTCTATTAAACAATTTTTTTAAATATTTTGAATTGGAAACCTACTTGATACTATCATCCATTATAAGATGATTTTCAATAACAATTTGTGTAATTATTACATACTTCACCAATCAACATTATTTAAAATTTTAATATCGATAAATGTATATTATTTGTATGTACAAATAATATAAATTTACTGAGCTAAAATTTTACCATAATATACTAACTAATATAATTCAAAATTACATAAAACTTAAAAATAAATTTTAATTGTACACCTATAATGCACATTGTACATGTGCAAATTATGTGTATGTATATGCGTATCAAGCATATGAGTTTGTAAAAAAAGCCAGTAATCCCAATGAACACATTTAAAATATCAAAACAAAAGCATGTCTTATTTACAAAATCGGAAAAATTTCAAAACACATAATTTCATGTACCCATGGCAATTAGAAAAATGTATGGCAATATAAAAAATAATGTTTTGATTCTCATTCCCTAATTCTGTTCATCATTTATTTTAAACAATTTCTTTTGTGTTTTTATTCAAATGGCATATTTGATGATTTATTTCACGAATATAAATCAAATTAAATAATAAGTTTCATTTGTGTTATAAAAATAATAAAATATATGTTTGGTAATAAAATTATAGATATAACAGGATTTTAATAAAATATTTGCCAAAATATATAAACCAGTAAAAAAATTTAAACACAAGTTAAAAAGCTACATTTACTCTTAATTCATCAAATATATACATACACACCAACATACTCATACATTTATATATATATATATATATATATATATATATATATAATTGTGTGAGTGTGAAAATGCATGATTGATTAAAGAAGTTGTATAAAAATTTGAATATATTAACACATTTATATAGATTTGATTAAATATAAATAACCCATATAGCATATAAATATTTTCATATTGTACTGCTTTTATATATTAAATGATTAATGATGAATTTTATTAAATGGAACATAATGCATTTACTAGAAAAAATACAAAGGATATTATTTGAGTAAAGGATTAAAAAATGTATTTGATAACATCTGTTAGTAAATGCATAATGAGCCGTGCAAGAAGAAAACCTGTTCCTACATCTCGATGATTCAATGACAAAATATGCACTATGTGTGACAATATCACAGAGGCTTTTTTCTCTTCATCTTAAATATTGACAATCAGTGTCAGTAATAACACAAATATAAAGATTTTCTTTTTATTAACACTTTTTTTGAAACAATCTTTCTTTTTCATTTTTATTAAGCGTCATTAATTAATTTTATATAATTGGCTTCAGAATACTAATAGTATTATTCATCACCATTATTTTGAAATCGCACATGAAGCAAATATTATTTGTATTTACTGAAGAAGATAGTAACTTATCCAAAGGTCCATAAATATAGGCCTTATCAATGAAATATACTTTTTTCATGGGTATTTTGCATATTAAATGATGAGCAAATGTTTTAAGATATACGAGACAGAAATTGTAAGCTTTATCTCCTCGTGAAAGTTTTTATGAGATAAATTTGCTATGCAATTATTTTTTCTATTTGTTAAGTATAAATAAAATTCATCAACTTAAATAATCTGTGATACTACCACCTAATTTTATAAATTTATAAGAAAAATTGTTTCAAATATATATTACACAAATACTAATTTGTGTCCATTTCACATAGAATCAAGATTTTTTAGACATCGAAATCAAATTTTTCAGGTTTAACTTTTTCTCTTGATTCAGTACTATGTTAGTAGATTTAGATAACTTTCTCTTCTAATTATTTTTATATAGCTTAAGAATCTATTTTTTACCTTAATTTATATTTCATATAGCGCACCTACGTGAATTACAGTAAATTTTCAATTTTAGGACACTACATATCAATGCATACTTATTTAGAATACTATGAAATACACATTCATGAATGTATGACATAGATTTATCCGTTATAGTAGAAGGTACAGAAATTGTTTCTAATATTTTTATATCATTTGTTTAATTAACAATGTAAATTTTTTGTATTACAGAATCTATCTACTTGGTAATAGGTAGATAGGAGGATTTCTGTTTAAAACACTCTAAAATAAAAATAATATGTGAATATATATTTTATATATATTTGAATATATAACATTTATTTTGAAATCTTTTTAGGTAAAACATTTTGTACATTTTGTTTTCATTTTTTTCTTTAAAGAAAATTGCACACAGACATTTTTATTAAACATGGCAATTGACGTGAAAATATGCCATTAAATATGTATAAAAACAATTATAATGTATTTTTTATATAAATAATGTAAAATATTAAAATGAATTTTTAAACATTATTTAAAACATAACTATCTAGTTATAGAATTAGAAATCGATTTGACATAAATTGCATAAAACTATCATATACGCTTAATAATATTGATAAAAAAAATATTATCAGTTCTGTATGTTATACAGTGCAACGAGGCTTGTAGCTATAGATTCCGATGAAAGAATAACTAAAAGTTGGCAAATCTGATTCAACCGTTATTTTATCAATAGAAGTAAACGCATTTGTTACTAAGTGGATATAATATATGAAGTAGTTTAACAACTTTCACTTAATTTTAAATTGTAACAACATTAACTTGTTTTATTTATAATTATATTTATTTAACAATTATCTAATATATTAATATATAATTCTTTGCTGTTCTGCGATATTTTTGTTACTATTACTTGTTCTAAATATAATATTATGAAATGAAGGATTTTTATAGCATATTTGAAATAGACTTTTAATGAAATACACATCATCTATATAACTTTTAATTTTGTTATAACTGCTCATTTAATGAAAATTGATAATTCATATTTACGATGTTTTTTATGCGATATATACAAATGAAAACATTAATAATAAAATGAAATTAGTGAGGAGGTCTTTTTGAATAATTGCACATTTGTGATGTTTATAAAAAAATGTTTCAAATTAGCTAATTAAGACTAAGTATGGAATTAACACCCTCATTAAATATGAAAACATGAGCAGGTAGAATTATATTCTTCAATTCATTAATGTATATATGGCTTCTCTGTACAAATAAAATATATAAAAAATTAATAATAGTCATCAATAATAAAAATAGATACTTTACCCATACTACAACAAGTAAAACTAGTTTTAACTTACACATATAACAAATATATAACTATAAAATGTATACGATGTAACAATATACACGTCTGAACCAAAAAAATATGATAACTTCGTTACGAAATTTAAATCTGTTTGGAAAATATAACAGAGACATAAATCATTTTAAGAATAAATTGATATTCTTGTTATAATCAAGGTCTTAGTAGGGATACTCTTGCAAAATTCTTTTTTCTTTTCTTTTCAATGGAATTCATATTATCACGATAGGTAGTGCTGTTTAGATAAAGCTGGGCCTGTAAAAAAATTATACTATGTATATTTCTGTATTTGAAATAGAATGATTTGCATACGCAAGGATATATTTAAAAAAGTGTGGAGCATTACAACGAAGAACTAGTTAGACCTATATTTTTTTCTTATAAAACACTTGGCAGGGCTAATAATACTCTGGGAACCATATATCGCTACAATTCGATTGCTGATATCTGGTACATAAATCTTTCTTCAAAAATTGAACATGGAAACGAGTCTTGGAGAAACGCGATTCTTCTACTTGATGCAAATTCAAAGAGAGATGAGAATTAAGAAAAAAAAATTATATACATGTCTAAGGAAATATAAAACTCTATTGAAAAGAGAGTGCTTCATAAGTATGTTATGAAATGATATACAAAAAAAAAATAATTTGGTATTCAAATATATATATTTGAAGTATTTCGCAGCCCAATCGTCGAATTAAAAAAAGATTAAATAGAAAACATTTTTTATTCTATTAGACGTTTCGACACTTAATGTGTGTCATCATTCAGTAATCTAAAAAACATATTACATAAATAACAATAGTTGATATTAAATATAAAATTATAAAAAGGAGAAAATTATATAAATACCAAACCAGGAAAAACAAAATAAAATTATATAAAATTTATTAAACACTAAACTTGTCCAAAATAATATCATAACTAATCATAATTAATTACCGGCACGTGCGGTAGAGTGAGTGCATGCGGGGTGTAAGAAACAAAAGAAGAATGAGAAACAGAGAGGAGACATAAAGGGAAAAGGGAATATATATATATATATATCATCTTACCTCGACTATCTGCTCCTTAGCCGAATCATCCGTCCAAGAGCGTGGTTCATTGCATTAGAGTCGAGAGCGCGTTGTGCCTGGCGCGTTTCACTTCCTCCTCGGCAATGCGCTGCTCGATCAAGTACTGGGCGGTGCCGATGGCACTCGGGGAGCCGTGTATCGTCACAATTCGATTCCTGGTACCTGGTGCAAAGATACCTTTCTTCGAAATCTGGATGTTAGCACCGGATAAGTGCTGGATTTCGATCAAACTACGACCGCCAGGGCCTATAAGAAAATAAGAATTATTAGATGATGAATTACATAGAAATCACTCGATTGCAATTGGCTTTTAAAACACATTTTTTGTAGAACTGAGCTCAAATACCGCCCTTTTACGTTATGAACATGAACATTATTATTAGCGATCTGCAAGGCACCAGGATTTGATTTTAGTTTATGGCCAAATTTGTGCAACTGTGTTTTTATCATCTTTTACTCGATGGCTTGATGGATTTCGATGAATATTCGCTGTTTATGTGCGCACGCGAATGATCTTTTTTCATATCAGAGCATTTAAATTTTTAAAACACATATAATTATTAAATTTATTTTCATACCTAATATTGCTCCGACAATAACTTCGGCAATCTCAACGTTCTTAGCATCCTTGCTTCCAATATCGCCCGGAGTTGGACTCTTAGATAGAGCTCCCAAAGCTTGAGCAGCACCTAGTGCCTAAAAGTTGAATAGCATATGCATTTAAAAGAGTAGAATAATCTTTTGAACAAATACTACATATATACTTGAAATTATTTTCGATGTATAATGTTATTTCCTAGCAATACATATAGTAGCTAATTTCTAAACATAAGGAAAAACTTAAATCAAATTCTTCAAATATTATTTAATTTACTTCTACATCAAAATATAATATCTTGCAGTAATTTTTTATTATAGCATTATCATCCAAATAAAATTTGTACATGTTTTGATTTAAGTGTTACCCTAGATTATGTCGATATTTGAAAAGTTTTTGATGTGTGAGATTAGTGGCCTGGTCTATTAGAGTATTCATGAGGAGCCTTACTCATACAAATCATTCCGGTCTTTGCTCAAAACTACGAATAAGCTTTCAATTTTTTCCATAACTCAAGTATTTATTAACGCCTATTCTTAGATGAGAGTATTTTTCTAAATGATTTGAATATCAGTAAGGCTTGAAATATAAGGTATACATCAAATCGATGAGTTTGATTGTTCTTTACAATATGAAAATGACAACGTCAACATTGCAAAAGAAGTGTAAGTAATGTCTGTAAACCAATGACAAGCATGAACTTTATTATATGCCTTTTTATTGTATTTATTTTGTAAAAATTTTGTTGGTGACTGTTGATGTGACTATGTACAATCAAGAAAATGGTGGAAATGGTCCAAGTCTACTTTCAACTCGTTATGATAAAATAATGCAACAATGATCCAATATTCAAATTAATTAAGCCTGAGATGTACTCTATTCAACACTCAGTTTTGAGCATCAAATATTGTATATAAAATATGGACATATATGGTACTTAAGCTATGAAAAATATTCAGACAAATATTAATTGAAGTTCCAAGATATTACAAAAATTAAAGATAACTGATTTTAAAATCAATATTTTGAAGAATTGATAATTAATAAATTCAAGTTTCAAATTGGTTATGATTCTTTGTACTGTGAATACAGATATGAAGCGATTGAAATGCTTGCTTTTGTGATAATAAAATAAAATAATTAGATGATAGCAGAAACTAAAATATTGATTCAGTCTAGTACGATCTGCATGTTTTGCGAACAGTACACATAAAATCTGAGGTTACAAAATGCCTGGATATACAATTTTGTCGTTTGATATAATCATAGCGATGCGGGATACAGGGCTTAGAGAGAGCGTGGTGATGTGATTAATTTTGAAAAAAAAAATTATAAATGAGTTAATAAATACAGCAACTTGCAATTTTCAGAATTAAATAAATAAATATCTACAAATGAAAAATATTTGTCTTGCTTTTTTAGAAAGCGATAGTTCTGTTGGTTTCGTTGATTATATGTGGCGTGCGAGTGAATTCTGATTAGCATAATCTTTTTTGATTATTACATTTTTTCGGGCTTATTTCGGCATATGGAATTTTTACCGGCAACCCGACAGTCTCTAGTGCATGAGGTCTTTTCAAAATCGAGTTGAAAGTAGATTCGTCACCGTACACTACTTAGTCACTCAAAAGTGCTTTAAGCGCGCCGATTACCACATCTGCAAATACATATGTCACAGCTGTAATTAATAAATGTCATTGGATCTTAATTATATCTTATATTGATATATAGTTCAAATTTATAAACCGACAGTAAGACAGAGTAAATTCATCAGAATATATTCATATTTGAAAACGTGCTTTGGAAGAAGATAATAAAATAATTATATTAAGCAAAACGTTATTCTATTCTTACTCTATAATTTCAATTGTATAAATCAATATGTAAAAACGATTTCATTGAAATAACTAAATTTAATTTTTAATATTTTCCTTTCATATTTTAGAATTCATCAGCAACACATGCAGGGTGTCTCTATTCAATAACACTTGTTTCAAAATATAAATTGTAAATCAGTCTATTCACGTATGATTGAACTTTTAACCTTAATTATTTATTTTGTATCATTTCGATAACGACGCCCTTTGTATATGCTATGTACTCTTTCATTTATATGCAGGTGCCTCTATAATTTGTAATTACCTCGTACCACATGGCACTCTAGAATTGCATGCTTAATTACAAAATTTCAAAAAGTGATTACGAGTGAGCTGTGTTGCAATTCATATAGTAAATTTTGAAGCAGTACCTGCTTAGCATTTATTGGTGAAACTTATTTAATAAGTACAGCTTTTAATTCATGCTGATATTCATATGATATAAATATATTATATTTAAATTATTCATTAAACAAAACTATAATTTTCATAACATACCTGCTGAGCTCCTCCTGTGGCCAAACCGAAACTATTGTTGTTTAATGCAACCGGAGCAGTGGCGGCGTGCCTGAAAGGGTCAAACGCCGCCTCTGCAAAGCGTTCTAAGGGCCCACGTGGTGTTGGAGAATTTGTCGTGCCTAAGTGATACGGGTTGTCTTCATAGTTTTTCATTTCAAATAACACATATTTTATTTAGTTTGATGTACCGAGGTTATCATTTCAAAATTAAGGAAAAGGTAAACGTTAATATTAGAAATCGAAGGTTATTTAAATTTTAGGAATAATTTTGATTAGAAAGTATTGCAAATATTAAATAGATTTATATTAATTTATATCAAATTGTTGGAATTAATTAAATACAAATATTAATAAAATAGTTGCAAACATTAGTAGTGATGGAATTGACGATTATTATCACAAATAGAAAAGGAAGATAGATTGAATTATAAAAAAATATGAATATAAAATAATTTGCAATAAATAGGTACAAGCAAACGTTAATAAAAATTTAGTAGCAAATAACATTTTAGTAGTTATAATTAAGTTTTTCCATTAATTTGATTGTCAATAGTTTATTTCAAGCGCCATCGGTTCATCAAATTATCCAAATCACCAAACATAGAAGTAGGCGACCATGTCATCATACAAGTGCAGAGTTATGCGTTTGTGTGGTTAGAGCAGCAAATAAAAAGAAAAGAAAATAAAACAAATTTAGAAATACATAAAAAATAAACTAAATGTTCTAAACTAAAAACTAAGTATCAAAATTATATTTTAACATATTTTGTGCAGACACTACATTTAAAGCAACACGTAACAGATTAAGTGCAGTATTAAAACGTAATAACTACTATAGTCCAGTCATTATAGTAAGTTCACCTCGGAATTCGAGATACCCAGCTGTAAGTCTGTAAATACTTGTATACCCTAAAGTTGTCTCAAAACCTACATATGGTATTGACATCCTACCATATGTAGGTTTTGAGACAACTTTAGGGTGTCAATATACAAGTATTTGCATATTTACAGCTGGGTATCTCGAATTCCGAGATTCTTACCTAATTTAAGCTTAAATGACTGGACTACTATCAGTTTTTGAGCTTAAAAGGTTCAACACACATCACATTCATTATTTTATTAATAAATTGCGTTATATTTTGTAAATGGAATGTTAAGGTCAGTATGGGACGATGTTATAGATTCTGCTCTTACAATAGTTGTCCATAAATTAATACAACATAGCTTGAATGCAACTATTACATATAAGTTTTAAGCCTTTCCACTCGCTAAATGCAGAATTAATACGTATTTTGCCGCCGGAGTGACAGCATTCGGTAATATATGGTAATATATTGTTTAATATATATCCGGTAGCCTATGGTAATATAGACAAATATAGAACTATACCGAGGAATTATACTCGAAGAAAAAATATCGAGTGGAAAGGGTTAAATCTATATAAACAAGAAATACAAAAAGAATGCCTATGGTAATATAGACAAATATGGAACTATACCGAGGAATTATACTCGAAGAAAAAATATCGAGTAAAAAGGGTTAAATCTATATAAACAAGAAATACAAAACAATGCCTATGGTAATATAGACAAATATGGAACTATACCGAGGAATTATACTCAAAGAAAAAATATCGAGTGGAAAGGGTTAAATCTATTTAAACAAGAGATACAAAAAGAATGCCTATGGTAGAAAATATGGTATGGAAGAAAAAATATCGAGTAATTAAGAACACATATGCATGTATGAACAAGTATTTAATTATTAGCAATGAAATGAAATGAAATGAGTAGAATATAAATAAGAGGACGCAGAGATAAAACAAACATACAATTTCAAAAGTCAATGGAAACAAACTGTTAGAAAGGATTCGCACTAAAAAATAATATTGGAATTTGCCTATTTCGATTAAATCAAATGAGATAAAAAATAGAGAGATTTTATACTACTTAGGATTTTGAATTTATTATTAAACAACAAAAATACGCATGCCCAATGGGTTTAGAAATTTCTATCGATATGTGTCCAAAAGACTTGCTATGCTCCCTGGTGATATTTCAAAATTATTTTGAATCTAATACCAAAACCAAGAAAATAAACGAAATATGAAAATATTGATTCGTTCACGCCAAATTGAAAATATAGTGCGTTTTCTGTGATATTTTCTATTTTGGCATTTCAATAGTTTTTTATTTTACTGCAATAAACGCAATATTTAGACATCTGGTACAATTTTACATCATTCATCGCCATTTTCTGAAATCCATACCATCTAAATTGCCTCTTGATACTTGTAGTTTACAAGAACAAATCTATTGTGAAGTTTAAATTCAAATGAATATAAATGTGTTTACAAGTTACTCTATATACACATGTCGAAATGGACTATGTTCTTTCTTGTAATACACGTTTACGAGCCTTAAGTATGTAAACAACTCAATGTAAAATACATTTTATAGTACACAGGCATTGTAAGTTTTTTAGAGAACGTTAAATTTTGTTGTAAGTCCAAGCTGATTTGATCATATCATAGTTTTGAGATGAAGTTTAAATTCGCCAATTGAACCTAATTTTTCTTAAAAATAGCTGGGACATATCATATTTAATTAACAATAAAAAAATCACGTTCATTATAGGTATAGATTCTTAAGATTGATTTTTGTATTACATATATTTAATTAATATTTATAAAATATATTATCACATTATATGATACGAAGTATTTTCTAGCTCTCTATCTATTTGTCAATAATTGAACTTGTGCTCGCAATAAACTATAAACAGTTACGCGTTCTTGAATGATTTCAAATGTATGTAGGTCAAAATAATGTATGGTGTCATAAAAATGATTAAGATTTTATCCTAGAGACTGTTGCATCTAGTTTCAATGTCAGAAAATCCTACGCAAAAATTAATAAACAAAGACCGCTGTTTCAAGAACATCTTGTTTCATTGTTTGCATAAAGCTTTACAAGAACATATGCATTAAATGTCGGTGTAGACAATTAAGATTTATCAATTATATTCAAAGCTTAACAATGTATTAAATATTTTTAGCGATAGTTAGTTATTACTCTTTTAAAGAATTGAAGAAGGAACGTTGTGGTAAAAGAAGTTAATTGCTAATTTTTACGGTAATATTAAGGGGGTAAATTTAGTTTATTTTAATTTATTTACTTACGGAATCATACTATAATTCTTTGAAATTATATCATATGCTACCGAACTATTGATTTTTTCTGAACACGTAGGTTTTTAAGTCCCGGATTTCCACCTTGTGCACCAGGTTTTTCTAAAAGCAATATTTGTCTCGGATTTAGATCTTTTATCCCGGATTTCCCCGGTTTTTCGAAAACTAATAGGCACATTTATAAAAATAAACGAACAAGTGCTAAGAAAATTGAATAGAGACTCAAAAGCGAAGATAAAATAGATAAAAGTTTACTACATATAATATAATAATAAAGTTCCTAATAAAACTCCGCAATTCCAAATGTTTTTTTTTTATTCATATAAAAAACTGTTTTTTAGTTTATCCTTAAGTAGCATTTGTTATTTTAAAGCAACCCCACTCCCTCGTGTCCCGGTTTAGCATAACTAAAAATTGCCGTCCCGGTTTTGACTTAAAAAAAAAATGGGGTCACCATAATACTAATCTCAACAAAAATGGAATTGAAAACGTTAAATCAATATGTTAATGCTACCAGATAATAATCTATAATTTAAATATATTTTGAAGTATTGTATAACTTGGTAGGAATATATTGTCCTTAGTAAATGCATGATAAATCCCATGAAAATATTTAGATGGTCCACACTAATACTTCGGAATTGCATCGTATGTTGGAAAGTTATTGATTTTTCTTAATAAATATGGCGTACTCTTTGACCTTTGATATAATATATTTGATATTATATATTTTTAATAAATCTACGTCCAAATAATCAGCAACGCTTGGGTTATGGTAATTTCTCAAACCAGTTTTAGACAATAATGATTTCAAAGCATTTAAGGGGCACAACTAATGTAACCGCCTAAAAAAGATTGATTTGCGAATTTATATTAAAAAAAAACACTTTATTAATCATTTTAAAATGTTAGGAACATATTTATACATGTTTTAAGAATACATAGTAAAATTTTTGAAGAAAAAAATTAAATATTTTTTATGTTATCGTCGATCTCCAACGGCGCGACAAAAATGGCCCTTCACTGCTGCAGTGATTCCGGCCTTCTACGTGGATGAAATTTAAAAAAAAAATCTCGTTAAACTAGATAATATTGTCTGTAAAATGAACTACGATAAAGAAAAAAAATCAAAAATTGACAAAATGGCGGCGTTTTTTTAAAAAAAGTCGAATTTTACCCAAAATTTTGGTCGTTTTTGGACTGCCAAAATTCGATTTTTGATCCGATCAAAAAATCGATAGTTTATTTTACGGAGAATTATATATAGAACATGTAAAAAAATTTGATAGCGATCGGATCATTTGTTTTTGAGTAATCGCTGCAGCAAATTCGGAAAATGCTGTTTCGAGAAAAACACGTTAGAAGATTAAATGATCGTTATACTATATACTATATACGAGGTGTGTTCAAAAAGTACCCGGAATTACTAATAATTAAATTTCGCGGGTCTGGAGTGTCTGATTGTCAAAATTTTTTTTTTATTGTGTTGGTATACATGCCCCTAAAGTATGATGAAATTTTCAGCTATATTCACTGTTTACTTTGTCTGTGGTAGTCGCTAAGGTTCGACGTGTTTTTCTGAGCTCGGCGATTTTTACAATGGATGAATTGAAAAGTCAAAGAATTTGTATTAAATTTTGCGTAAAAAATGAAATAAAGTGTTGCAAAGTGCAAAAATTCACGAGATATGGCTCCGTGTGACTTTTTCCTATTCCCAAAGTTGAAGAGACGGAACCCATGAAAGGACGGCGGTTTTCCTCGATTGAAGAAAATCGCTGAGAGTGCTCAAGGACATATCAAAAAGTGAATATCAAGGGTGCTTCGAAAATTGGAAAAAACGCTGGCATAAGTGTATTATATCTGGGGGGGACTACTTTGAAGGGGACCACATTAATGTAGACGAATAAATAAATATTTTTTTGAAAAAACGAAAATTCCGGGTACTTTTTGAACAGACCTCGTATACTATATATCCTCTTTAAATGGCTGTGACTCAAAAACTATTTAAGATATCGATTTGAAATTTTGGTATGTAATTTTTAAAGGTATAACCTATCGAAATATGGAAAAATTGAAAATTCGATTTTTTGAAAATTTCACACTAGTTGTGCCCCTTAAATTTTAAAATTGTCAAGATGGCGGCAGAGGTTTCCATTTATCCCATAAAAGGATTCTTCACATAAATACTAAAATACCCTCGATGTTTTATTAGCATGCGACTAATATTGTGCATCGACTTCAGCTAGCTATCGTGTGCCAAGTTTGTTATAATCAAGGTCATAACGGTTGACGCGGACAAACTGACGCATAATTTGGCAAACTAATAAACGAGGTGGCCCGAATTATTAAGATGTAATGCTCTCATTAAACAAATTTAATTCAGGATGATGTCAAAAATAATGGATCTTCTCTTATAATGTGATATTTCAGTTATTTGTTTAAAGGTTTCAATACACACAATGCAGTAAATCCCTATAACGCGGTATTCTGAACGCCAAAATGAAAGATTTTCAATTGCCTCAATTCTTCTCAATTGAAATGAATTTCGCCAGGGATTTGCAACTTAAGGGGCACAAGAAGTGTGAAATTTTCGAATTTTAAATTTTTCCATATTTCGATAGGATATTCCTTTAAAAATAACATACCAAAATTTTAAATCGATATCTTAAATAGTTTTTGAGTTACAGCCATTTAAAGAGTATATATATAGTATATAGTATAACGATCATCTTATCTTTAAACGCGTTTTTCTCGAAACAGCATTTTCCGAATTTGTTGCAGCGATTACTCAAAAACAAATGATCCGATCACTATCAATTTTTTTTCCATGTTCTATATATAGTTCTCCGTAAAATGAACTATCGATCTTTTTATCAGATCAAAAATCTAATTTTGGCAGTCCAAAAACGACAAAATTTTTGGGTAAATTTCGACTTTTTTTAAAAAACGCCGTCATTTTGTCAATTTTTTCTTTTTTTTCTTTATCGTAGTTCATTTTACAGGCAATATTATCTAGTTTAACGAGATTTTTTTTTTTAAATTTCATCCACGTAGAAGGCCGGGATCACTGCAGCAGTAAAGGGCCTTTTTTTGTCGCGTCGTTGGAGATCGACGATAACTTAAAAAATATTTAATTTTTTTCTTCAAAAATTTTACTATGTATTCTTAAAACATGTATACATATATTCCTAAAATTTTGAAATGATTGATAGAGTAGTTTTTTTAACATAAATTCCCAAAAATCACCTTTTTTTAGGCGGTTACACTAGTTGTGCCCCTTAATTAACATACATTACATGTCCTTCCGCAAGAAAATGAATTTCAATGATATATAAATGTTAATAATTTAGCATTTACAACTTTGTCATATAATAAATAATAAATTGTTATAAATATATTTGACAAACACAGAACGTAACGTATCGGAAAGTTTCTCTGGTTAATGTAAAATACAAACATTTAGCTTGTGCGGTAAATGAGCACCTGATTTAAAATAATGTTTATTAAAGATTGTACCTTAAATAAGATGATGATGATGAAATAAATGAAAAGTGAAATAAACGCACTGAGAATTATTATATAACTTCTTACATTTCCGTAAATAAGTAGATATGATAATATAATATTGAATGTGAGTGGTTAAGAAAGTATTGAAGTATTAAACATAAATAGAGGAAACTAGTAGAAAGTAAATTATAGTGGTACATTGTTTGATAAACATTGTAAAAAACAGCAAGCGTAGATTATGCCTATCTAATTTAATTCTATTTTAGTAATATAGATTGCAAATAATACTGCACTGCTATGTGGTTTAACAAAATAAACATAAATAAACTTAGTAAGCTTAAATTATAAATATAACAAAAAATCTGAGTTTCTAATGACAATCTTAGAAACCGATTGTTGGTTATATTTAGGAACGCAAAAGTTTCATAAGTTCATTTTCAATTTCAATGACTGCAAATATGTATTTCTAATCAAAAGCACCATATCAAAGCAACATTTTTTTTAAATTAAATATTTTATTTTTGATTATAAAACTTTCGCGTTTTATTAGAAATAATAAGTAAATAAAAGAAGCTCCAATCAGCAACGACATAACTCACTTTCAATCCACTCACCGAGACTGACTTGCCCAATTGCCCCAAATACCCCCGCTGTCGAATGATCCATGGCCTGAACACCGCCCAGGTAGCCTAGGGCTTGGCCTGCCGCTGCAGCAGATGTCACAGCAGCGGCTGATGCAGCTGCTGCGGCGGCAGCGTTATTTTGTTGTTGCTGTTGGTGATGCACCTGTAAAAATAACAGATGATAGTTAATATTTTTAAATTTGAAAAAAAAAATGGTATTGTTGCGCGATGCCAAAAAGAATATGAGTACTTAACTTATTTTGCATTCCATGGGCCAATGCTTTTACATCTAATTTATTTAATGATTTTGTTATAAATGATTTCAAAAATATAATGCCTCACTTCTATCAAACCAATAATTTACATTTCCAACACAACTTGATTTATAATATTATACTTTGTAGCTTTGGGATCGTTCAAGTAATACGTAAGCAGATTTATTACAATTATTTACACCCCCCCATCCCCCTTGTCAAAAGTAAGCAAAGCTCTTACCCCCTACCCTCATGCTTACGTAAACATTTTGCAATTAATGTAAAAAAAAATACTACCTATGACGTAATCATCATCCAAACTCCCCTGCCCCCCATGTCAACCCAAAATAAGCAAATTAACAACCCCCCGCCCCCCTATAGTGCTTACGTAATACTTGAACGCCCCCTTTACAATAAAATAATAAATGAAATAAATGAAAATAATAAATTCATGTTTCATCAGATCGTTCTTGGTGCTTAAAATAATAAAATTCAAATATAAATCACCTTGATGTTTGCCAAGATTATAATTAATTGTTTATTTATAGACATATTGCATATTTGAAAATTGCAATGCTCTAAAATAGAACACATATCAGCATATTAAAAAATCTAAGCTCAATACCTTAAAAATTAATTACTATTTTTTAGTTTCAATTAATTATTTCTACATACAAGTCAAGTATAAAAATTTTATAATAAATATTTAAATCAAATTTATTTTCTAAATGATGAGTTGAGATAATTATTAATCAAATTTGATATCTTTATTACCTGTGCAGCCCCCCAAAGCGGCACCCAGGCCCACGCCCAAAGCTCCATGCCTGGCCAAAACTAAAAGAGCAGCACATATCTCAGATGCGGCCGGCTCGCTGTAACTTGAATTGCGTAATTGCAGCTATAAAAAATAAATATTTATCAGTACTATGTTAGAACAATTCTTACATATTACATATTACTGCGCAAACATTTCAATCTTCTTACATATTACATATTACTGCGCGAAATGTTATTTCCAAATTATTTACCTTAATATGATCTACAAATTGCGCAGCAAGAGCAGCGTTGGGAGCTGCATTTTGTGGTCCTAACAAGTTTAAGGATAATTGTAAACCGGCTGCAGCAGCAGCTGTGGCTCCTACTCCATTTACTAAAATGCTACCGGCTGTTCCTGGACCAACACCAGCAACACCTGTAATAAATAAATATAAAATTCAATCGTTTATATTTAGGAGTTCTTGAAAGATATTCAAAAAGCAAGATTATCTGCATTCGTACATTTTTAATTTATAGTAAAATTACAAATTCGAAAAATGAAGTAAAAATAGCACATATCACTATCGATGTAGAAAATTTTTATATTTATATAAATAACAACTTTCATGTAATGACCTCTACTTTATATATCGCTTTCTAGCTCATACTCCATTAGCTTTGATTTATTTCAATAGCCATTCATTAACTTGATAGACACTAATAAACGATCTCCATGATCGTTTGATTATAGTATAACTTCAATTTTATTACCGCATAACTAATGCAAAAACACTCCTATTGTTTAATCTTCAATAGATATTACAATTAGCAGATAATTTCAATAACCAACTCCTCGAATGCCTTTCAGAATTGATTTAAGATTATGCAGAACAGGAATGACTAGTGACAGCCTGACCTCAAGTCTCTAATATAACATCAATTGCAATAGACATGGAGTTATTATAATTTGTCCATTGACATAGATTTCTCTAGATTCTCCATTATGACATTTATCAGTTAAATTCACTTACATCATTATAATTGAATAATAATAATTAATTAATTAAGCATTAAAATATTCTACTGACCTTGTTGCTGCTGATGAGCCGCATACGGGGATCCGGTAGGATTGAAATTCGCGACTGGTCCAGCAACGTCGGCGTAAGAAACATTTAAACACGTCCCAGATTGTGGGTCATCTACAACTTTTGCTAAAATCATCATGCAAGCTGCCTTATTTGAATCCTTATCACCTGAGGAAATAAAATAATGTGAACAAAAAAAGAACATACGTAATATTTATTATTGTTATTTTATCTACATATATATAAAAATAAGTTGGGTTTTTCTTCCTGACGATATAACTCCAGAACGCACGAACCGATTTCGACAATTTTGCATTCGTCGGAAAGTCTCGGGCTCCGCAAGGTTTATAGCTAAGAAAATTAGTGGTGCATGGCATCGTGCCTCAATGCAAATTGCTGGAACTTCACGCACCGTAATTAAAAATTCGAGTAATGACATTCATGAGAATTATGAGAATTATGCTTGGTTAAGTCAACGAGCAATTCTTGCCGTAAAGAATAATGATATACACGCACTGAATTTCACCATTCAATCAAAAATTGGTGGCGATTTGGTGACATACCAATGATTCCGACTGGTCTTCCGTTTGACTTCAAACGATTGCAATTTCCATTTCGCCTTGCGTTCGCAATAACAAGTCGCAAGGCCAATCGCTTAGTGTTTGCGGGATAAATTTCAAATAGATTATTTAGAAAATCATTGTTTTTCACATGGGCAGTTATACGTTGCCTGTTCACGAGTTGGACAACCACCCGCTTTGTTTGTGTTAACGTCAGACCAAAAAACATAAAATGTGGTTTACCAAAGAGCACTTCAATGAAACGGATAGTTTGCGGATTCACTTTCATTTACTTAGAGAAGTTCAACTAAAAACACTTCATTTTTGTAATCGCAATAAATTCATTACTGTTGTGAAATAAAATTAATTTTTTCCTTTTCAAATATAAAACAAACAAAAAATCTTCATCTTTCTCACGAAACCATCTGGTGGCGAAATCTGGGTTTCCTAGTATTTTATATAACAAACATTTTTTACCGTAGAAACCGTATTTGTAAATTTTAAGATTAAATCTTTTCAATCATAACACAAAAATCTTTTATAAGGGTTGCTTGTACTTACCTATAACAGTAATGCATCGTTCTTGTAAAGATAGATCTTTGGCTTTCTGAGAAATTTGTACATAAGATCCCGTCTCCTCTTTGATTTGTTTAATGTAATTACCAGCTTTGCCAATAATCATACCAGCCGTTGAATTTGGTACTAAAATTTTTACTTGTTTATCTCTATCTTGCGTACCCGCCAAAGCTGAAAAAATAAACATTGAACGTATAAATACCGCAAACTTTGATCTCTAAAATTTGACAAAAAATATATAAAATTAAAATTTCAACATGCAATCAAAGAGAATACATCTAATATTGGTTTCTTATTAACAATTTGCTTAAATAATTCAAGGATGTTTATATAAATGCAACTTACCGCTTATCCCGTTAACATCACCAGCTCCGGCTAATTGTTGTTGCTGTTGTAGAGTAGCGTTTTGTTGTTGTTGTTGTTTGCTGATATCCGGTTTTTCCCTGATTCGGTCCATTATAAAGTCCAATACCTGCATGATAGCGTCCACGCTTCCTGTTATCAAACAAACCCGCTCCGACGTTCCTGAAGAGAAAAATAAACATCGCGGTCACAGCATTGCCATGAATTACTTTTGCACCGATATAAATCAATTTATATAATTTCATTGAAGAAACTGGATTTTGTTATCAGAAAATAGTTTAGCCAGATGTGCCAAACCAAAAATAATATCTTAGGTACTATGGTGACCACCTTTTAAGTCAAACCGGGACGCCAATTTTTAGTTATGCTAATCCGGGACATGAGGGAGGGGGGTTGCTTTAAAATAATAAATGCCACTTAAGAATAAAATAAAAAATTATTTTTTTATATGAATAAATTTTTTTAATCGGAATGGCGGACTTTTTGTAAGAACTTTATTATTCAATTATATGTAGTACACTTTTATCTATTTTTATCTTTACGTTTTTCTCGCTTTCGAGTCTCTTTTCAATTTCCTTAGCACTTGTTCGTTTATTTCTATAAATTTGCCGATTAGTTTTCGAAAAACCGGGACAATCCGGGAAAAAAGATCTAAATCCGGGACAAATATTGCTTTTAAAAAAAGGCTGGGACACAAGTTGGAAATCCGGGACGTATAGCCACCTTTTAGGTACTCTATAATCTTTTTACAAACCATTTACGAAATGCAACTGGTTAATCAAATGTTTAAATTTGACTAATGATATTTGATATGTTTCATGTTAATTTTATTTAAATTTTCTTAATGTGCATAAATCCGATTTGAGTATTTTAATATTATGAGGACTTCTCTACTCTATAATCTTTTTACAAGCCATTTCCAAGACAACCAACAATTTAATATATTTTTGAATTTTTAATATATTTAATTTTTTTATAATATTTAAGGTACACTATCATCTTTTTACAAACCATTTACGAGATGCGACTGGTTAATCAAATGTTTAAATTTGACTAATAATATTTGATATGTTCCATGTTAATATTATTTAAATGTTAATATTATGAGGACTTGTCTACTTTATAATCTTTTATCAAGCCATTTTACAAGACAACCAAAAATAATATTTAAGATACTCTATGATCTTTTTACAAACTATTTACAAAATGGGACTGTTTTTTTTTATTATTATCTCTTTTATTTACAACTGTCCACTTAAGGACATTTAATAAATTTGATGAATTTACAATAGTCGGTCGAAAAGGGATATTGTATACTAAAAGGGCATGCTGAAAAAACAACTCAGTAGTTGTAATGGGACTGGTTAATCAACTTTTTAAATTTGACTAATTATATATGATATGATATGCTCCATGTTAATTTTATTTAAATTTTCCTAATGCGCATAAATCCGATTTAAGTTCTTCATTATTATGAGGTCTTGTCTACTAAATTAAGATTTCTTTCAAAGATTGAAAACCAGTTGAGCAATTTATTTCGATTCTAGTCGATTCTATCTTTTACAAATC